TTATACTTTAAAGATTGACAAAATTATAAAAATAAGGAGAAATTTAAAAGCTATATAAAATCTAAAAAAAAAAGGCTAAAAGGGCTATTAGTATGCAAGGTACAAAGTATAATAATTTTTATAATAAGATAGGTACTAGTGATAGGTAAAAGATATATATTGAATTACTAAAGATATAGAAAGAAAATGCAAGGATTTAGGTAAAATTAGATGCATTAATAATAAAGATAGAGGAACATGAAATTAAAAATGAAGTTATTTTTATAAAGCATTTAATGAACATTCCACGGATAACTTAGCTTTAACGATAGATTCTAGTCATAGATTTAGTTTGCTCATAAAATTACAAACAATGAAGTAAAAAACGCTTTAAAAAATGTAACTAAGAGTGAGGGACTTGATGGTATGCCGTTAAGGTCTAGAAAAGTTTAGGAGACTAAGGAATAGCATTGTTAACTTCTTTATTTAACAAACAACCGAGACTTAGGAAGATGCTTCATGAATGGAGAAAGAGCTTTTTAGTGCTAATTTACAAGAATAAAGGTAACGTACAAAGTTGTTCTAATTATAAATTTACAAAAATAAGGGTGACATATAAAACTATTCTAATTATAAAAAAATTAAAATCATGAATCATATTATAAAACTTTGTGATACCCCAAATAATTAGATTTGATTTGACTAAACTTGAATATCTCTTTTACTAGACTTAATTTTCACTTTGGCTTGGTTTGATTGATTACTAAACAATCAAATTATAAATTAATAATTTAATTTTCTCACTAAGAGGTGAAAATTATTGTTCAACTTCAGCTTATTTGACACATTTGCTTGAGCACATTTAGCTAAAAATTTATTTAAAGAATTGTCGATTTCTTTTATGGTGATAATATATTATCATTATTTTGATTTATTATTATTCTCTTTGTTTGACTAAATTATCCATTGAGATCAATAGATTTACATTATGAGACAAGACCTAATTTAGGAAAGAAAAGGATATGATTTGCTAATAAGTTCCTCGCCTTGGGAGAAAATCCTAAATATACTATAGCCTACAAAATGTAACTAAAAGTGACGGCTACCATCATACATCACTTCCTCTACCCATCTCTTCTCTATTAACCGCTTGGAGATCGAGACACTCTGCTCTTACACACTTCGACAATGCTATTAAGTGTCAAATGATGGAAACATGTGATGAAGAGAAGGTGAAACATCAATATCTCTACCATGTCTCTACCCCGGCTTAGTCATCTGAAAGTTCTCATCAATTAGGCCCTCACCTACATGGGCAAGATCCATGAGACCTATGAAGCTAGAGAGAAGGATGATGTTGGAACAAAGATGGACTCGTGAAACCTATGTCTTGACTGAAACAACTTTGAAGAAAGGTTTCGTTATCTGAAACCCCATCTGGGTCACTTGTTGCATTGGTTTTCAAACTAGAAAAAGATGTTTTAATTGGTTGACATATGTAGAATCTGTCTTAGTAGTTCGAAAGGGGTGACTTCATGCCCCATATTAATGCAGTACAAAAACAACGGGGTTAGGTGGGGATCAATGCTATAGAGATGAAGAATATTGAAGAAGCTGTAACCAGTACACCATTGTAGATCAATGGGTAGAATTGTGCATCAAATATTGCTTCTGCAAAAGATTATCTAAATGTTCTTTAACTTGTGGGCTATTTCACCTATATTTAAAGATTTTGAAAAGCTCCTGTTTTTCAAGTGTCTACAGAGAAAGTTATACTAGTTGACAAGATATGGGAAGGTAAAGGTTTTGTTGGATGCATGTATAATGCGTAGAATCTTGTTAGGTGAAGCAGGCTAGAACAGAAAGACACATGCCATTCATGAAATACTTGGATTTTAAACTAGCATGATACTCTGCAACGACTGAATGGTTTGGATACCTTAACAAATTGTAATAAAGTGACTAGAGTTATAAGTGATTAGCTTAGAGTTGGACTTGGATCGGCGGTAAATGAGTTGTCGACCTGATATATCATAATTGGGTGAGCTTGTATTTTATATTTGTTGATTAAATTCCATGATATATCATAGTTTATTTATCTTCTTATAATTATATAGCAGTAGTCTTCCTGACTTGCGACATGATTGTTTTATAATATGAATCTAGCATTTCTAGAAGTGCATGTATGGTAACAATTTGACATGCAATCAAAATAAATAAATACTATATGTATATATATATATATATGTATGTATGTATATATATATGTATGTATATATATATATATATATATATATATATATATATAATCAAATTGGTTCTTAATAATTCAAATAAAAAGGCTTATACCTCATTGCCGATTCCAAGGGTGGTAAACCTTCGGACAAACAAAGGGATGATACTTAAGTCTAAAAAAGTCGAGGCAATAAGGTAATATGAGTTATATTTGATAGTGGCCTTATAGGAGAAGTAAAGAAAAAATATCTTATCAGATGAATTTGAGGGTTAAGATATTGTCATCCTATGAGAAATGTATGCAAATCCATGACCCGACATGTGGAATGACGTTTAAGTCCAGCAAGGATATTCATAGGGTGGGGTTGATCCTCACGGATTTAATACCGTACCTAAGTGTCTAGTTATTATATTTTCTAAAAAGAAGAAGATGAGTACCTGAGTATATGATATATATTAATTTATTCTTATGCAAAATGCATGTATTGTTCTTATTGATACATTATAAATTATGTTAATATGTTCAAAGCCTAATGCATATAAATATTTTATTTATAAAATTATTATAAATTATCTAAAAGTGTTTCAAGTCTTATTTACCTACTAGATGAAAGAGGCTTGTTCACTTATTGGGTATTTTATTTAAATGCTAACCCATTTCCCCATCTCCATAAATGACTCATTGACATACACATGGTTGATCTAAGGTTGGTATCTAGGTATTCCATGTTTGACCAAAAGGCTTTTATGTTAATGGCCCACCGAAAAATTAATGTTAGAAAAATATGTGATTAAAAAATATGAAATAGTTAAATGAGACCTTTTTATTTGATAAATTTTTTATCATTCTTGTATCATGTTAATATTTTAAATGTAGTAAAAAGGAGGGTGTACCCAATACAAGAGACTCTCACCAATACGAGGTCTGGGGAGGGTCAATAGGTTTCATAAGCTTCCACCTGATTTGGTGACTATAAGTTAGATTGGTTTTTTTTTTTAAGTTCATACTTGAACTAGCGTAGCCCCATGGTTTGCAATATCGTACCGTACCGCTCGATACGAGTGATACATAATAGTCCAATAGAGGACTGGTATGGGCGATACATTGGTACACCTTGGTGTACTGTATGTCAGTAAGCTCGATACAGCTCAATACATACCGTACCGACAGTTGATCGATACATTGAATACAACATGGTATTCAGAACCTTGCCTAGCCCATGGTCTTTCGGAGGACCCTTGTGCCCCTTGATATGAGGACATAAGACTTTGGGAAAGAGTTATCAAAAGTTGTATAAGACTTGAAACGAATATATCTTAAAATCAATTTGGTTTTATACTTGAAAGATCAACAATATAAGCTATTTATTTAAAAATAAATAAAATATTATGAAGAAAAAATGTATATGGATTTTATTAATATAGAGAAAGTCTATAATGAAATTTCTAAAGATTTATTATGGTGAGTTTTAGAAAAGAAAGGTATATGCACTAAGTAAATTGGAATTATTAAAGATAATATAGCCACTAATATTAAAACTATAGGGAGTTTGTCTAAAGAGTTTTGCATTAGTATACATCTTCAACCTCAAGGTTGAACTTGGACATTAAATCCTTTGAAGCATGGACAAGAAAGACATTATATGGACAGATCAATATGGTATGTAGAAGTAGGACATCACATGGTATCTGATGCAATTGCATCTGAACCTTCAACACATTATTATAATTTTATATGGCCCAAAAAATTTAGACAACAGAATGATAGATGATTATCTTATATGTAAAGGAAGCAATTGCAATCTAGTAGTCCATGATCACTAAGGAAACAAGGATGCACAAGGCTAAGAATTAGTTACTTTGTTTTTTATTTTTTGCATTACCAAATACCTCACCTGCATGGTAAATAGAAAGGTACTAAAGCCACAATAATGATTATTATTTATTTCGAAATAATTATAATAATTATATTCACTAAAATTTTCTATTATATTTTCATATAACCTCTTATCTTTTATATTTTGGTTTCATGTTTGAGGTATTAAAGATATAAGAATATTTTTGCATCAAATATATTTTATTTCTAAACGTTTTTACTTTATCTATTTTTAATTTTATATTATTTTCCATATTTTAATGACTTAAATAATTATTTCAATTGATGTCGATCAAGTTGATTCGATTCCACTGATTCTAGTGATGCCATTGATATTTAACCTAATCAATCCCATTTCCAGTACCAATTTTATGAAGCATGTTTTATGTGGCATGTACAAAATTCTTGCACATTAATTTTTATATATGTTTTACTAATACTAATTTTTTAATAAATTATACAATAATTCTCAATCAATTATGTTTTTATGTATTTTTTATCTTTTACAATTTGATTTCATGAATCTTTCTAGCAAGTTAATATTTTATGAAATATAAACAAATTTAGCATCTAGCTTTCCTTCAATTTTATGCTTATCATTTTCTAATATTTTGCTATGCTTTACAATCTCATTTTTTTAACTAATTTCAACCAATTCTAATCTTTCTGACCCAATCTGAGATTTTGTTAATCCTAGTTATATATATCTCTGGTCAATTTGATCAATCTTGCAAGCTATACAATAAGTTCAAACAAGTTATCTCAACCTCTTGCATAAAGGAACTAAATAATAAAGTCAGAAGATCATGTAAGACAACTTCTGAGTTCTGATGAAGCTTTGTTGGCAGGTAAAAAGTAAAAGAACATGCTCTAAAAATATATAAAGTTATAAGCAAGACAAACTTTATACCTCTACAGCAAAAGCCACTCGAAGGATGCTGGCTTCACTCCATGGGCGTCCTATTAATTGCAAACCAATTGGAAGTCCTTGCTTATCATAACCAATCTGCATATCACATGTTGAATACATAAACACGGTTACTTCAAATGCGATAATTATTACATCATCAGAAGCATAAAAATTTGGAGAGTTTCCAGCTTTCCATTTCACGAATACGAGTAAACAAGGATGGCTGTTTCAAGTGTTTACTCACTGTTTGTTCTTTCAGACTGTTGAATATGTATCACTTGATTGTTCTCAAATTATAACTCTTTACATGAGATTATGGCTTATTGGATCTTGCAAACAAACAAAATTCAACAAAAGCAATGTTCTAATGTGGTGTCCAAGGATTGTCATACCATCATAAACTATACAAAATGAGTGGTATTTGTTTGCCTGATAACCAATATGTGAACCTGTTTTGGGCAGAAAACAAGAAGTGGGGGAGTACTTCCTAGTATGCTCGATACAACCCCTTTATCATTTGACACAGTCAAATTTTGATCGTACTGGTCCAATATGGTCAAACTTTAAAACCCCCTACCCCTCTTTCACTCCTGAGTCTCTTTCTCCCTCTCTTTCTCACTCAATTTCTCAGTCTCTTTCTCACTCACTTTCTCAGTCTCTTTCTCACTCTAACTTGATTAAATATCCTAACTGACGATTAGTGCAAATCGAGCTCTTCCTTTGGAGGGATTCAAACTTGGGATTTCACCAAATTCTCTTCAATTAAAGGTATTCATGCTCTTTCTATGCTTTAATTTTAATTTGACATAATTAGATGCTTATTATTCCATTTTTGGTTATATTTAATGGTGATTAGTGTATTTCTCTTAATATTAGAATTAAATAGTTCCTCTATCTTACTTTTAGGCTTAAATTGGGGCTAATTTTGCCAAATCGTGTCATGTTAAGGTGATTAGTATCTTTCTCTTAAGTTTAGGCACAATTAGGACTATTATCATATTTTTAGGTCGAAATTGGGGTAATTATGCCTAATTGCAGCTTGTTAAGGGTGACTTTTGTGTCCCTATTTATTTTTGGCTCAATTAAATCCATTATCTTACGTTTAAAACAAAATTAGGGATAATTATGACTCATTTAAACTCTATTCTTATTTAAATAGAATAAAAATATCACTAAATTAGTATTAAAAGCAAGGCATACAATTTCGAATGGTATCGAGCAGCACATACTGGTCCGACACTAAACCGGTACATAGACCGTTTGCTACGGGGTGATATATATATATATATATATATATATCACTAAATTAGTATTAAATAATATATATAAATTTAAAAAAAAAAGTGCAACATCATGTCGCTCTTCTCCCCAAGCAGAGCGACGTCGTCATTATATATATATATATATATACACACGTCACTTCGCTTGGGAAGAAAAGCGACGCGACGTTGCACATTTTTTTTAAATTTATATATATTATTTATATATATATGTAGAAAAACGATGCCGCCTCGTTTTTCTACGACATCGCCTCAATGATGTCGCACATTGTTTTTTAATTATATATATATATATATATATATATATATACTGAACGGTATACCGCTCGGTATATAGTACCATACCGTACCGAAGAGAAGGTCGAAACTCTGGTACGATACGATATTTCAATCCTTGATTAAAAGTACTCATAAAAGAGGTTTTTAGTGATTTTTCAGCTATTTCTGGCCTTTTTCATGATAATCAAGATATCAACATATGGTACATCTTTTAATTACTTTGCTGTTGTAATTAAAACTCTGCATTGGATTTGAATAGGAGTAGAGTAAAAGTCCGATTGAGCCAAATTGGACTTCGACTAGAACTCAGTTTGTGCTGCACCTGAGTGAGACTTGAACTGACTTTGATCTGATCCTTAAGCTTGGAATCGAGCTTGAGATTGGTTCAGTTTGATCAGGATCGAATTGTAGTCTGATTGAAACTCCAATTGGACCATATTGGAGTTCAATTTGAACTCGACTAGATCGTCCCTGATCACTAGTCCCGTGCACGACTGATACCATTGGCACAAGATAACAGTCCTTGATGGTGTCTGTCAGTTTTTCACAACCATCTTTTTGAATTAGTTGACTTTTTTTTCTTCAATTAGTTGACTCATAACACAGGTGCTTGCATTTCTGCTTTTATGCATTCCTTTTTGCTTCTACTTTCCAAATGGACATTGTTCACTATGTTATTTTAGAAGAATCCCGTACATTTCGATTGCTGTACTTGTCTACATGCTACTTCATGTAACTGTACATATTGCACTAGTAATCTGGGGCTCTCTCCCATGGAATTAGTAAATTAAAATCCAAGTAACACATGAATCTTCACCGGTTAGTTCTTTCATTGATATTATGACAAGCTTTCATGAGTAGTGGACGGTGTCATTTTGACTTGACAAGTATACCATTTCATGTAATAAAAGTTTGAAAATATTTTCAGTCCATGTATACTATCTAAATAGAACTTCATTTGTTATTTCACTATATATAATAAAGGAACTGAAGCTACAGGGATTTTCTTGTTGTACAACAAAGAACATTATTTGCTTACAGGCACTGATATAGCTGGGAGCCCAAGAAGATTTCCAGCTAGTATGAACCGCATGAGATACCCTATAATCAATAAATGTAAAATAGAGTGAATCAGTAAATCGTGCATGTCAAATTCAATTAGATATTAAAAATAAATGCATTAGCAGAAAATGGAAATCAAAGTCAAACAAAAAGAATAAAAAGTAAAATTAGCTTAAGGTGGTACTCAAACTCAACTAAAATTTGTACCTGCATAATGCATTTGGTGTGGTGGAAAAGATGGATTTATTCTCAGCAATCTAGTTATGTTCATGATGAACTTTCTTCTCAGGACAATATGATCATAAACTACTCTAGACACATTCAGCGTTGATATAATTGTAAGAAAATATTATATGTCTAAAACAAGATATTGATTTTTCTTTTTCTTCTATCATTCTCTCTCTCTCTCTTTGTCTTTCTCTTTTCCTTATTTTTGGACCAAGTAGAGGGAGGAGGGTTCGCAGAATGTTAGAACTTTCACCCAAAAGAATGCCAGTAGTAAAAAGCTTCTTCACTTGAAATCATGATACTTAAACATACTAGTTTCATGCAGCAAAGATTTATAGTTAGACATCCAATTTGAATAAATTGAAATGACCAGAATATCTTCTGAATCTTTGTAACAATTACAGTATCAATGATAAGGTTTACCAAAATTAATGCTTTTCTTTTCAGGCTCACCTTAACAATATCCAAATAAACAATAGATGAACAAGATGTTAGCAATAAATGGATGCAAATTCGACCTGTCAAAGAATCATCTGAGCTTTCTGGACAATTTCTGTTATAGAAAATAGAATGTGATCTCAACACTTATTGCCAGTTTTCAGTAAACCTTAATACACCTATACTAAATGGCATATATTTGTGATAATTAGTGTTGATCAGTTAGAATTTAATCCAGGCAAAAACAAAAAAGTGGAGTGTAAAACATATGAGAAAGGATGGAGAAAGGGCTAAAGATCTCATGTCATCACAACCGAATGCCACTGTCCTTTTCTAAAAAATGTTATGCTCGATCTAGTTGACTTGTTGCCTATCTTGATCATCATACAGAACATGCAAAATTCATTTGTTTTGTGAAGTGGATGCAGTCATTCTAAGAAGCCAGCAAATGAACCCTTGAACTTGCATTACTTGCAAAGTTTGGAAAGGTCTAATATTCAGTTTGAGGCTATTTCAAGTACTTGTTAAGCACAGAAATGGATCTAAGTTTGGAAAATTTGTTTAAATCAATGATTCCTTTTTCTGACGTTTGATTCTTTATTTTAAGAAATGGGCATTTCACTAGCTTTTAGGAAGATTCATGGAATGGTTCCCCCCCCCCCCGGTAGTTCCTGATTATTTTAAGCCTGTGCAAAGCCTAATGTCATTGTCATGGATCTCTGACCACCTAGACTGGTACGTACCAATCTGCTGGAGAACTGGTGTATGTTTGTGGAATGATTGATTAGAGGGGCATAATAGTCATTTTTCTATGTTTTGTTATCAACAAACAAATAATTTGTTGTTATGGCAATGACATTGTGGAAGCAAGTGAAACCGACACCATGTGCATGGTGTCGTTACTTATTCGGGGTTCCGTGCTCTTCTTCTCTCTATTGACGGTGGAGGGGAGATTGAGGAGTCATTGGAGGGTTTCACCGGAAGATGGAGGGACATCGCTGGAATGATCAAGGTAGGGGTCCCATCCGCCCAATCGTCTAATCTAGTTATCACCTCTTAGAGATTAATCTCGTGTATGTTTCCACTTGAATTGAATTCCTTAACCTCCATCAACTGATATGATGCATGTGAAGTAGAAATCATGTGGAAATATTCCAATTTAGAGTTTATTTGATCTTTTATTATCATTCCATGAAAATATTTGTTGTTAAATAGCAATAAATACTTGAATTTGAATCCATTGGCATGCCAGTGATCCACAGCATCTGCCATGCCAGTACTGTTCACTATCACATCAGCACTGACTGCTGCTACATCACCACCAGGCTGTGTCAAGTCAGCAGTGACTGCTGACACAACAGGCATTGCAGTCTACTCTAATTTGCCCCTATCACCATTGCCACATCAGTGCTGATTACTGTCATGTCAGCGCTGACCACTGCCACACTATCACCAAGCTGTGTCAAGTGATCAGGGACAATCTCAATGGCACTCAACCGAATTGGCTAAACCACTCTTGAAGGGCCACTTGAAGACTTGAAGCCTTATTTGGCCAAGCAAAGCTCATATCAGAGCAGCCCACTTACCCTAATTCAAGCCCTACTAGGACTAGGATTAGACAGCCCTCACACAAACAGGGGCAGCCACAAGGAGTATGACTCTCATTAGCCAGCCCTAAAACACGTCCTAGAGGCATTAGAACTCTCCAAGACCTAAGGCATTAGGACTCTACGAATCCTAACTACATTAGGACTCACCTAGTCCTAACCTAGATGAGACTCCACCCCTTCCTCAGTTCTAAAAGGAGGAGAGCCCCATCTAAAGTATCCTAAAGCAACCCAAGTCGTGCCCCCTCTCAAGAAGCGAACCAGCCTTAAGCTGAGAAAAAAGGAGAAAAGAGAAAAAGGAGAGAAAAACAGTAACAGCACCCTTCTTCCATCTAGCCTTCCAGCCGACCTAGGACAACTTCCTAGTCAGAGTAGCAGCAGAAGAAGAGAAGAGGAAAAAAGTCTTGATAGCCCTCCCGAAGCAGTCAAGATCAGCACGCAAAGAGACTTCTTTCAGCTTGCTGCAGAATTCTGCAGCAGACAACTGTCGCAAATCTAGCAGCCAAAACCATGCATCAAAGCTTCGTCCAACTATTGTGAGGAGCCTCCCAAAGCCAACTACCTGATGTTCAAACCTATGTTCTTACGCATCTATAAGCCTTCTACCATGCTTTTATTCCGTTGTTTATGTCTTGTAGTTAACACTTTAACTTTACAAGTAATAAAGATTGTTTTCTTTCGGTTTTACTCTTCCTATAATAGTTCTGTCCTCCGATAAAACTTCTATCCAAATGATCATGTTTATTGACGGCTCGTCAAACCCAAACCCCATACGCATCATCAAGTCTGTGGTGACTGCTGACACAGCAGACTATTACAATATACACTAATATGTCATATCACTACTGAGGTGCAAGTGACCGTTGACGAGTGTCCTGTCAGCATTGACCATGGCCACATCAGCACTGTAAGATCTTTGATAAATGCTGACACAGCAGGGTGCACTACAGCCACATGGGACTTGTCATGTCATCGCTAAGTGTTGCCACGTTAGCAACAACCACTGCCACATCAGCATGATTAATGACACAGCAGACTGCCATGCAGTCTGCAAAGGTGCACCAACCTTGAATGGTCCAGCCCAATCACCTGGCCAAATCAGTGCAATCTGGCTGGACTAACTTAAACCTAGCTGACTCACTCTTGACTTAAATCCATCCTCTATTGGTTGAATCAATATCCAGATTGAACCCGATCTTTACAGGTGGTTGAACCTGATCACATGCTGATTGAACCCAAGTCATATTCCCATATTGAACTCAATCCTTACATGCGGTCAAGCCCGACCACGTTCTAATTGAGCCCAAGCTATGCTTCCAATCCAGATTGGAGAGGCCCAATTCTACATAAGCCCAAGTAATGGACTGGCTATGCAAGCCCAACCCATAGGTTGGCTTTGTGGGCCATCAGAGCTAGCCCCAGGTCATGAATTGTAACAAATTAGAATATAGATAATTAATAAATATGTAAAAACTTTAGAACAATGCAGAAAATCATAAGAAATACAGAAAATACCACAGAGAATGTTAAATGATCAAAAATAAAATTATTAGGTTACTTTGACTTCCATAGTAACCTAGAACTAATGATTTAGACCTAATATAATCAAGTATATGAACTATACAAGGTAAAGTAAATAAATCAAAATTCATAATGCATAATAAAACCAATCATGCAATTGATCTGTCTACTTTACAAATTTCAACCATTGTCATATTCTATCAACCCCTTTTGACTTCGATTTACCTCAATGTTGACACCTCCCACCTTGTATGTTATATGTATATGTAAATGTATGCGGATGCAAGATTTGATGTGATATGGTCATGTTGATTGATGCATGATATTGAGTAAAGGGACACTTGATTTTTTATTGTGACAATAGACCACTGACTAGTAGGTCGATTATCTAGATGACTTCAGTACTTAAGGGATTAGCAGACCGTCAGACGTGGCAATTGTTTGGTCTCCTGCCAAGGACAGGGGAGATGTGTCGTCATTGTGACAGGTGAGGCACTACTCCATTAGTTGTCGGGAGTACAATATGATTCCTCTTTATCAGCTGTTATGAAAGTTGAGTTATCTTGAGAGATTCGAGTATCCCATTTGCTAATGATGATGTGTATATGATGATGTATTTGTATATATACTATCCATGTGTGGATTGTACGTTGCATTCTTTCATGCATTAATCATCGTTTGTGAAATCCTTTTATCAACTTATCTATAGCATTTGCCTTGACACACCTTTTGCTTATTCGGGATTCCTCTGCTTAGCATTATTGCTTAATGTTATTGTTGTAAAATTTTTCAGAGACCTAGAACAACAGGAGCAGTGCATGCCATTTCAGTATGAGTATTATTAAACAATCGACTTGTTCTTCTTCTTGTTAGTTTTCAAACTATGATTAAATAATATTGAACTCCTTATGTAATAAGTTGGACCGTTATTATTATAATGAGTTTCAGACTTATGGAATGTAAAGATTATCATGTGTTGTTTTCAACCGTTGGTATTTGTGTTTGGAATGTCCTTAGGGTAGGATAGTTGGAGAATTGGTATATATATGTGGAACGACCCAAATCGAGCATCCTGCTCGCAAGATTGATTAGTTCCTCCTTGTCCCACTGCTCTCCTGTTAAGACTCTAGCTAGAAAAGTCCTAATTGAGAGGAGCATTCATGTAAAACATACCTAAGCCGACCCCTATTAAAGAGGTGAAAAGGTCAGCTAGGGTTTGAAGGTTATTTCTTAGAGAAGAATTAG